ATTAATTACTTAATTTATTAATATAAAATTATTAATTAAATGTACTCAAAACAAAATTTTATAAATATAATAGAAAATATTTTCTTAAAAAACTAACCAAACGCAATTTTAGAATCGGTCCTAAAATGATTTTCAAAACAATTTCATTTCCACTTTTATACTGAAAATAAAACCATCTTGAAAGTGTCACCAAATGAGCCCATTAACTCTAAAAATAGTGCACGTAGTTCACCGTCGATCCCATTTTGGTCCTTAATTTGTAAAACGTCTCACAGTTAGTTCATGATGTTTTATTCTATTTTAGTTTTGGTCTCTCCCTTAGTTAGGTGTTAATATTTGATGAAATTTGTAGAAATTAAGAACGAAAATTAAAAACATCTAAAGTTTATCAAAAACTTCTAAGAAATCCACTGTGCCCAAACTGTTGCAGATGTTGTTGCAATAATGCTTTGAAGACAAAACCAAAAGTCAACAATTCTAATTCTTGAAATCTTCCCGTACACATGAACTTGGACGTATACTTCTAAAATACAATTAATTTGAATAGCTGAGCACAATCACTTCTTCATATCAATTATTCCATTAAATTTCAACTTATTAAAAATGACTAAAGTTGACTTTCACCAAATCATATCAAAATGAATGACTTTAAGTACTTTCCAAAATGACAATAACAGCTACCAATCAATGTTCAATCAAACCAATTGTCAAATCATTCCCAAATAATGTCAACACCTAAAATTAATCAAATCCAAAAATGGCAAACATCAAACCGAAATCCCCACAATATCAATCATTGATCTAAGTTCACCAAATCTCGTGACATAAAGTCTTATATATTAAATGAAAAAAGACAAATTCATTCTAAGCAACTTTAACATCTAATTCGAGTTTTGGATGATGCCCAAAATATATATTATGTTCTCCCCTATTTAAAAAGAGAGCGTACATATTTAAATTACAAAACTTATAATCAACACTAACCTATTAAATAAACAAGCGTAAGATAACTTCAAAACGGAACAACTAAAAGCACTTATCTTCAGCGAAGAAAAAACGAAAGAACGCTGAAAGAAAAAAAAAAGGACTAAAAGCACTTATTATAAATACTCTCATGTAAAATTAAAAATAAAACTCACAGTAATAAGTAAGATAAGAACCATAAAAAATAAAGACAAGATACCCATAATATCCCATATATTTTGCGTAAATACTATTTTTATCCTTCTAATATTTAGTAAAATATTGAAAAAGAAACCCCTTATTCTTAAAATGCCCAAAAAAAGCCTGTATTTATAAATCATTCTCACAAGATCCCCATAAATAATTAAATTTATTAAAATACAAACATTTCTATGACATTTTAAAAATTATTTTAAATTTATCAAACCAAAATACTAAGTAAAAACCAATCTTAAAAATAAAAAATTCTTAAATGAAATATTTGTTTGACATTTTAAAATTATTTTATTTATTTAATTTTTTTATTAAAGTTATATTTAAAGCAACAATTTTAGTTAGGGTGAACAATTTTTTTAAGATGTTTAAAATAATGTTTGATAAAAAAACAAAAAATAAAAAGAGATTTCAGCACAAATAACCCTTTTTAAATAATATTTTCATGAATAGTTGAAGTTTTATAAAATT